TACTTGTCGAACTGCGGCGCCAGCCCGCGGTCCGCGCGCTGGAGGCGGTGGATGAAGGCTGCGCGTCCCGTGGCCGGCTAGAGAACTGAGGCCGCCGAGCTGATCTGGCGGGTCAGCCTGCCCAGGTCTCCGCGGCCGCGTGAATGGGCTCGCATTCCTTGCGCTCTCGGTCCTCTGCAAGTCCACTGGGTTCTTGGAGACCGTGCGGGGCCCCGCTGGCTCTGCCCAAATACTTGTCCGACTCCTCGGCGGTCCCGAGCTAGTTCGCCAGGTGCCTCTCCGCCTTGGGGAAAAATTCTCGGACTGCAGCGCCGGGGCCCTCGTCCAGGCCCCGCAGGGGAGTGCGCCGGCGGACCTCGGGAGCAATCCTTCCTTGCGAGCTGGCCACCTGGGCTTCCTTCTCCTGCGGGGCCTCAAAATAGCGGGGCGCCTTCAGCACCTGGGCCTTGGCCGTGGCCCCAAGCCGCTCAGAGCAGAGCCGCGCAGGGGCGTGGGGGCGCGTCGTCGTCGGCCCCGACACCTCCACCACGGGGGAGAGCTCCGCCAAAGCCGAGGAGATCAGGACATAGTCGTAGACGCGGTCGCCGCCACCCGCTGCCTTCGGCCGGCAACCACCATCAAACACCCATGGCTCCGTGCTCCAGTCGGCGCCGACGAGGAACGGCTCGTTGAGCTCATTCAAGAATACCTGCAGCTCGGACAGCAGGTCGACGTTGCCTCAACCGAATTTCACCGAGTGCTCCAGGTGAGGACTGGCCACCGCTGAGCAGAGGTCGCCGAGCGCCACCCTCTTCGCCAGGATGCGCGACGACACCGCCCCCCACGCCTGAGGCATGGAGGAGACACCGCGGTGCCTGGGCACCAGCGCCCCGACTCCAGCGAATACTGCCTGCGCTGACGCCCCAGTGCTCCTGCAGAGGCTGAAGTCGCCGCCGAAGCTGTTCCTCTGGCGCAGACTGCGTGCTGAGTTCTCTGCTACCACCGTGGGGAAACGCGTCTCCTGGGCCAGGATCGCGTCGCCTCTGTTCTGGTCATCCAGCAGGTGCTCGACCGCTGTCTGGATCTCGGCAAACGTGGGGCCGTTGAGTGCAGCGAGCGAGGCTGGCTTAGCGCCGGGCGGCTGGGCCGCCTTCGCCATCTTGAGCTCCATCGGGGCAACCTGTCTCTTCTCGGCGCAAGGCCTGGGGGGCATCGTGCACGTTCCATCGGCCTGCTCAATGTGAAGTGGCACCCCGCGATTCCATGCGCTCGCCTGGTTCTGATGCGTGCTGCTAGTCCCAGCCTGTGGAGGAATGGGGCATGCTTCGAGACGGTGTGGCTATTCAACATCCTCGATGCAATCCTGCATCGGCCAATGCCCATCCGCTTGCCATGGGCCGCTGGGTCCGCCGCCCCGCTGGGGCGAGGTGGCGGGGGCCCACCTTCGGCGCTGTGCCGTGCGGTCGGCTCTCCTCGCCTGCCGCCTGCGCCCTCGGGCGGCTGGCAGCTGGGCCTCCGAGCCGTGGGCCTGACTACCAACGATGCTGGACAGCAGCAGCAGCGCTAGGAGCCACTGCGGGGCCGCTGTTGCCCGCCGCCGTGGATGCTGCAGCGGCCCGCCGGCGGGCGGCGTCAGAGGCGGCCGCGCCCAAAGCGGCCCCTCGGCGGCGAACTGGGACTTAGAATTGGCCTCGTCCGCAAGGACTGAGATGGCTGCCGCTGCGCCGGGGGTCCCTGAGCGTGGGGTCGCGGCGGGAGCTGGGGCCTGGCCGTCAGCGAGGTCCTGCTCGAGGAGCCAATCCTCGTCCCGCGATTCAGGCTGGTTGCGCTTGCGCTTCTTGGCGACCGCCTCCTCGATCTCCTTCTTGATGCGCGCCATCTGCTCTTTGCAGTTCTTCTCGAACACCTCCTGTGCTGCGCGCGTGATTTCATGGCCTTCCGCGCGCATATTCCTGAGGTTCTTCTGGGCCTCGCACTCCAACTCTGCAACATTCTCGTGGGACTCCGCGTCGAAATTGAACGTGAGCTGCTTGGCCGACTCCTCTGGCGCTCCCACGGCCGAAGCCTGCGCGCGGCGACAGAGGGGGCTCGTCTCCTCGGCCTGCGCCTCGGCGAGGCTGATCGCGCAAGGGTCGCGCCGCGAACGGCGCTCAGCGAGCTGCTCCTCAACCGCCGCCATGGCGCCCGCGGACTCGCCCAGCTGGCGCTGCAGGTTGCGGCGGCGGTTTGTGACTGACTGCAGCTGCTGCTCCAACGACCGCTGGGAAGGGGCATGCTGCGGCGGGGAGTAACTGCGAACCGCCTCCACCGCTGGGCGGAGCTGGGCCGCGATGGCGGGGTCGGGGGTCGCCAGCAGCGACTGGGCCTTCAGTGGGGCAGGCGAAAGTCGAGAACTGGGAAGCGGGCGGTCGCGCAGGACTCATCACCAGGCGGCTGCCCGCGCTGCGCGCTTCGCCCTCGCCTTGTCCTTCGTCTTTGCTTTCGCCTTGCCGTTGCCTTCGGCGGCCACCTGGCCACGGAGTTGTATCACTCCGCTTGAACAGGAATGCTACCAGGCCAAGGCGCTGGACACACTCCGCCTGGAAGCGTCGCTCCAAGTAATTTCAGGCGGCCTGCGACGCTGACGCGGACACCTCGTCTTCTTCCTGCGATGCAATCAGCCTTAGCCTCTTAACGGCTTCAGAATTGAGCAGCAGATCTTGGGACGACTCATTGTTACCATGCCCACGGTTGCACTTCAGAATTGAGCAGCAGATCTTGGGACGACTCATTGTTACCATGCCCACGGTTGCACTTCAACAGGGCCCCAGAAACCTTTGATCCACATAGGTCATTGCTGGTGGTGAACAGATCGAGCCAAGGTCGGCCGTCAAATGCGTGATCAGCAAACGCTTTGCTTCACCATGCGATGCCTGGGGGATGCGTAACCTTCAACCCATATCCGCTGATTAACAGCATCAAAATACTTGGCAGGTTCAGAAAGGCCATCTTCAGCTTTCCTGAAGGGAATGCATTCGGGAGGTAAGCTTCAGGTACAGTATCATTGATGACCCCACTTGCAAGCATATACATTGTGCACACGATGCCAAATGCGAGGCATATGTTCAAAACCGCACGGTAAGCAGTCGCGTTCTTCAAGTTCCAGGTGAAAGCTAAGTACTTACCGCTGCGAAAGTCGGTGGCTCCACTCCTCGCCAGCAATCAACGCTGTTGAAATGAGCAGTGTCGCAAGGAACAACCCCGAGTAAAATATTGGGCCGACCATGTTGTAAGCGCGCGGACGGATTTTGCCATGTACACGGGGGTTTGATTTGAACATTTCAGAATCGATCTCCTGTGTTAGCTTGTTATAAATATCGCATTCCTGCTTCACTCTAGTCTGGTTAGCAGAGATTTCACGCCACCGTGCTTCTGAAATTTCCTCCAACACCACCTGCAAAAGATAACTGGCTAAAATGTTCCTGAAAGACAAAAAAACACGAGCACAAGCCGCAACTCCACCAACAGAAAATGAACGACCGCTGTGGCAGGCATGCTCGAAATAATCTGGCCAATCGGAAGCAGGGCTGATTCGTTCCAGAGGGCGGACATTGGGGTCACGAAGCATAAAAGCCTTCACTCACGATGGCATTTCAACCACGATTGGCTCATTTTGAGCCAACACGGCTACGGACCAGGGTCTGACTATCTTGGACCACTTGGCGTCCGCGGACTTACAAAATGTGAGCTGCAATTTCCCCGCAAGCCTCGGGGCCATCCGGCTGACTCTGCTCCTGCGGGGAAGGGGGACCGGGGAGGGAGAGGGCGACTGCCGCCGCGAGTGGGAGGGGTGTGTGGCGAGAAGCTGGGCTAAGAAGGGCCCGAGGAGGCCTACGAGAACGACGTGGTGTACAACCAGATCGACGATCCAGACTGACGGTCGACCAAAGAAACCTGGACGCCAACTTTCCGCCCGCATCCCCGCTCGAGCGCAAAGCCACCCTTTCGCGGGCAGCGCTAGGCACTTGAAGGAGATTGGGAAGCTGGGCCAGCTTATTGAAGCTGCCGAGCAAGGGCCAGAGCGGAGGAGGGGAGGCGTCTCGATGACCGGCGCAGCCGCACCCTTCTCGGGTGCCTGTGGAGTGGCGGGCCTGTGTCTCAGGTCCTCGCCCTTTTCCCCGTCTGTTGCCCTGCCTGCCTGGGCCAGGGCCTCAGGGGCACGCGCATAACTCTCCCTCGACACCCCCTTCCTCCTCCTTCACCCCCCTCCGTTCCCTCCTTCCTCCTCCTCCTGCCCCTCCTCCTTCCTCTCCTTCCGCCTTTAGCAACTATTCGACATGCACGCCGCAGGAGCACTATACCCTCCTCCCTCCCCCCAACAGTTGGCCCGAGAGTGGCGCGCCCCCCTCCGCGCACTGTTCTTTACACGCGGGACTGGAAGAGAGGAGGGAGGAGGAGGAGGAGGAGGAGGAGGAGGAGGAGGAGGAGGAGGAGGAGGAGGAAGGAGGAGGAGAAGGAGGAGGAGGAGGAGGGGGAGGGAGGGAGGGAGGGTGACTCTGGAGACTCTGCCTGATCGCGTAGCGATATGAATATGGAAGTCCGCTGGCACCTACTGAAGTGCCTGTTGCTTCCCTAATCTCTGGATGGTCTCAGCTTGGCTGAGCGCTTTGGGCCATGCCCCCATTGCAATACGACGCAGATACTCCCGCCCTGTGGCGGTGGGTGTGTCACATGCGACGGCTAACTTCCCGATCTGTCGGGAGGCGTACACCCCGCAGTGGAAACAAAACCACAATTTCAGCCCAGTGTGGAACCTTAAACGATGGGTTAAATGAGCATATCCCCCTGCC